CCATACTCTCAGCTGGCGCAGATTCCCCATCCTCCGTTCCAACATACACTACTTTCAAACTATCACCCTCATATTAAAAATAAAACAAAACTATCTGTGTCTCTCCCCTTCACTGCAGCGCCTGAGTTGAAAGGGTAGAAGCGCTTACAGAGAGCCATGGTTAATGTTACCCTGGAAGGCTCCAGGACGGCATACCAGAACCTGGTTTTGGCATCTGGGAACCAGTTTTCAGCCATATATCTCACCGTTCCTGCGTGCACTCCGGTCCACACAAAATTAGCCCTGTGGAATGTGGATTTAAAATCCTCTTGCCAGAAGTACTTAAACGCAGGAGCTAAAATTTGCTCTTTCTACATTTCCTACCTGTCGAGGGGAGAAGGAACAAAGTCCTGGCCCTTTGTTATTTGGGTCCCTTCCCGGGGAGGTTTGCAGAGCCCACGTCTAATTCTGGGGTTTGGGGGCAGCCCGAACAAAGACCTTTTAAGCAGCAGCTCCCGACAGGAGCTCACCACCTGCCTGCCCCTTGCCTGGCAGCTCACTTTGGGGTCTCTTTTTCAATAATAGCTGGAACACGTGTGCAAACCAGTGCAGGGTTGGGTTTTTGTTGGGTGGTTTTTTTTTTTTTTCCCTCTATGCCTACAGTGCTGGCTGCAAACCAACCGCCAGCCCAGGGTGTGCAGCTGGGAGAGAAGGGGGAAGAAAAAAATAAAAAAACCCACCCAACCCAACAACCTGTGGAATGTTTTCTTGCCCCTGAAAGCTCCAACACTTCCCTGCCCGGGGGGAGCGCTTGCCACGGCTGGCACTTGCTGCATCCAGCAGCCAACGGGGTTTCCTTTCCAGTGGGCTCCAGCTGGATTTTAGGGAAAGGATGGGGGTGAAGGGGGGGGGTTTGCATTTAACAACCGCTTGATTGTACTTTTTAACTGATGCTGTTGGGCACAAGCACGTCCTGGCGAATGGTGGCTTGTGGCACAACTGCCATCTCCTTGCAAATGGTCCCCCGGGGGCGAGGGGGGCTGCTTTGCCCCCAGAGGTGGAAGTTTGTCCACACCAACTGATTTTGAGCTGTGCCTTCCCTTCTCTGACACCAACCTTGTGGCAGCAAAAGCAGAGGGGACGTGGAGGGCTTAGCCAGGAATCCAGAGCAACCAGCTAACAAAAAAAAAAAAAAAACCTAAGGAAAAAAGAAGTGAGGGTACCCATGAGGAATAGGCATAATAGGTTTATTCAACAGGGAGACGGGAAGGGGGAATTTTTTTAAAGGCAAGTATTCAGCTAAAGCTGCCGAAAATGGGGCCAGGCCTTTACGGAGAATGGATATTTTAAGTGGCAATTTATTCCACTAATAAAAAAAGAAGGATGCAGGTGCTTTGGCAGGGCTGTGGAGGGGAGCGGGCGAGAGCTGCGGTTGATCGGAGCGAGGGGCTCCGGCACAGCTGGTGGCTCTGCCTTTATGGGGCTCCCGTCCCCTCGTGCCAGGGTCCACCTATGGATCTCAGCTCTCCAGAAAGCACTACCTGCCCCGGCGTCTCCCGCAAACGGCTGCGGTAGGTGACGAGAGGTGTTTTATCCAGATGCTACAGCCATCCCCTCTCCAGCTGGGCAGGGAAGGGCTCCTGCCCACAGGCTGCTCCAGGCAGGAGGTTTCTTGCTCAAATTCCCGAGGCAGAGCAGCAAGAAGAGAAGAAATCTTTCCAAGCTGGATGGGGCCGTGCTCGCCAAATGGCTCCGGGCTCCTGGGGGCTGACCGTGCTGCTCCGGAGCACATCGTCCCGCTGGAACCAGGCAATGTCCAGTTTTTCAGCGTTGCCCCTCAGCCCCGAGTGTGCAAGCCAAAGCGTGGTGGGGACGAAAAACTCCATTCTGAACGAATGGAAGTGGTAATTAACACTTTGCAGTGAGCGCTGAACCAGTGCAGCCATCGGTGTATACCCACTGCCACCGACGCTCGTGTTGTGGCACTGCAAACCACAAGCCCACGTAGAAGCCACAACCTTAAATCTCCACTTTAGTGTCATTATCACCATAATTTCAAACCTGGCAGTCGCTGGGGACACGCAATGAGGCAGGTTTCAATTCAGTCTACACCACACACCGATGAAAGATCATCCTACGCTTATCCCATGGAGAATACACCCTCCATACTCTCAGCTGGCGCCGATTCCCCATCCTCCGTTCCAACATACACTACTTTCAAACTATCACCCTCATATTAAAAATAAAACAAAACTATCTGTGTCTCTCCCCTTCACTGCAGCGCCTGAGTTGAAAGGGTAGAAGCGCTTACAGAGAGCCATGGTTAATGTTACCCTGGAAGGCTCCAGGACGGCATACCAGAACCTGGTTTTGGCATCTGGGAACCAGTTTTCAGCCATATATCTCACCGTTCCTGCGTGCACTCCGGTCCACACAAAATTAGCCCTGTGGAATGTGGATTTAAAATCCTCTTGCCAGAAGTACTTAAACGCAGGAGCTAAAATTTGCTCTTTCTACATTTCCTACCTGTCGAGGGGAGAAGGAACAAAGTCCTGGCCCTTTGTTATTTGGGTCCCTTCCCGGGGAGGTTTGCAGAGCCCACGTCTAATTCTGGGGTTTGGGGGCAGCCCGAACAAAGACCTTTTAAGCAGCAGCTCCCGACAGGAGCTCACCACCTGCCTGCCCCTTGCCTGGCAGCTCACTTTGGGGTCTCTTTTTCAATAATAGCTGGAACACGTGTGGAAACCAGTGCAGGGTTGGGTTTTTGTTGGATGGTTTTTTTTTTTTTTTTTTTTTCCCTCTATGCCTACAGTGCTGGCTGCAAACCAACCGCCAGCCCAGGGTGTGCAGCTGGGAGAGAAGGGGGAAGAAAAAAATAAAAAAACCCACCCAACCCAACAACCTGTGGAATGTTTTCTTGCTCCTGAAAGCTCCAACACTTCCCTGCCCGGGGGGAGCGCTTGCCACGGCTGGCACTTGCTGCATCCAGCAGCCAACGGGGTTTCCTTTCCAGTGGGCTCCAGCTGGATTTTAGGGAAAGGATGGGGGTGAAGGGGGGGGGTTTGCATTTAACAACCGCTTGATTGTACTTTTTAACTGATGCTGTTGGGCACAAGCACGTCCTGGCGAATGGTGGCTTGTGGCACAACTGCCATCTCCTTGCAAATGGTCCCCCGGGGGCGAGGGGGGCTGCTTTGCCCCCAGAGGTGGAAGTTTGTCCACACCAACTGATTTTGAGCTGTGCCTTCCCTTCTCTGACACCAACCTTGTGGCTGCAAAAGCAGAGGGGACGTGGAGGGCTTAGCCAGGAATCCAGAGCAACCAGCTAACACCAATCCCAAAAAAACCCTCCCAGAGACAAGCCCCGCTGTGCAGCACACACTGGCCCCGAGCACCTTCCTCAGTCCAAGCAGCTCATGCAAGAATAACACAGAATAACAGATACATCTGAGGATATGGCACAGAAAAGGAACAGGGTACTTCGGGGCGTACTGGTGCTCAGCTCAGCTTCCCACTCAGGGCTGGAGGCATGGGGAGAAGCAGGGTATTTATGTGCTGGCTTGGAGCGATTAATTTTTCATGGTTAATAGGGACACCAGAGGAGTTTTTCACTATTCATTGGTAGAGATTCAGTTTCGCAGGGGTTTGTGGTTAGTTTATGGCCTGCCCAGGCAGGAGGGTGGCTGGAGACGTGGGGGGATCCCACGGAGGGATGCTGCCTGCAGCCAGCCAAGGAACATGGATGATTCCTGCAATACCAGCTGAGAACGGGAGCCCTACACAGCTCATCTCAGTTGTGCTCGGAGAAGGCTCCCAGCACAGCCCTCTGGGGTCAGTGCTTTAATGCTGTCGTGCCATTCTCACCCCACACACAGCACCCCTGCGCTCCCCCTCCCGGAGCCCTTTCCAACTTGGCTGGAGTGGTTTAAAGAGCTTTTTTTTTTTTATTATTCCCTGCCTGCCTGCCTTTCCACCGGACCCCCTCCCGGGGAGGGGGGGACAGCCGATCCCATTTGATGGGGCTCAGAAATAGATGGTGGCTCCTATCACAGCTCACAGCCTCCTCCCCGAACCCACAGCCACAAAGGCTGTTGCTCAAGCGTAGCATTCCTGCTCCCCGCGTCCCGGGAACAGCTGTACCGAAAAGATGCCGAGAATCCCTGCGAGGCTCCAAGGAAAAGATATTAACTCAGGAGGGGAGCGGCAGCGATATAATAAAAAGTCATAATAAAAGAGAGAAGCCACTGAGTAGATTCGCAGCCCAAACGCTGCTTGGCTTTTGGTCTCCTTCCCTCCGGCTTTTCTGTGCCGCACACTGATCTGCTCAAACTCCTCCACCCCGGGGGATGCTCAGCTCCTGAATTTCAGACAGATCTGGAGATGTCCACGCTGCAAAGCCTGAGGGCATGGTTGAGAAACTTCTCTGTCTGAGCACACAGAAGGGCACACATAGCAGGCATCAGACACTGCATCACCCCAGCCTGTGCTCCGCCAGACCAGGGTCACCACCTCCAGGTCTGCCCTCACAGGGAAATTAAAGACAGATTTGGAGCTTGGTGTGTATTTCTCCATTACAGCAAAGGTAGAAGGATACATCCCGCTATTTTAAAGCCCCCTGGTACCTGCCACGTACTGGTTCTTCCCTACTTGGTGCCAGCATGGAGCAGCACATGGTGGTTCCCTGCCAGGCTGCTCCAGCAGCACTGACCCACGGGGGCAGTGGGATGCAGAGGTGGGGTGTCCCCATGGGGAGCAAGCAAACCCTCAGTCCTCACCCTCCACATACAGGAGGTGTGACACCCAGCACAAGGCACGCAAGGATGACATTCCCCTGTGCTCCTTTAGAAGCAGCCGGGGCGATATCGGGGGCTCAGAGCATCTGCTGCCGGAGCCACCGGCTGCGTCAAGAATTCCACTGTTGGGGAGGGACAGGAGCAAAGGGGGTGGCTGTGGTGGCAGCAGCTGTTCCCTGCCCACGTAGGGCATTTAAATTTTAAAGCACACTTGCCACGGCTGTTTTCTCCACCGTCCCCGTCCAGCTCACAGAGACCCTGTCCCCCGGAGCCGCCAGCCCACCAGGCACCCATGGGTTCGCTGGTGGCCAAGCTCCTTCTACCCACCATCAGCACCTTGGTCTTCCTCCCCACCATCAGCATCGCGGCCAAGCGGCGCTTCCACATGGAAGCCATGGTCTACTTCTTCACCATGTTCTTCGTGGCGGTAAGATGTCCCCATACCCTCCCCTCCCTGGCATGTTTCATCTCCCCAAATGCCCCCTGCATGGGGTCCCCACCAAGACAGGCAGCTGGATCTCACCCAACAGCAGTAAACGCGACCCCCAGAATATCCATTTTCAGTTATTTCCCACTGTGTGTGGCGCTGAGTAGATGATTCTTCGGTTTAGGATGTCCTAAGGGGTGGCCTTACATAGATTTAACGGTGTTTTACGGTTGTGAGGTTAGGGAGAGGGTCTGGGTGCAACGAGACTTGATTGACTCGCAATGTTTTGGAGCTGGTTTTTCTCTTTGTTTTACAGCTGGTAAGTGGCCACGCTGAACTCGGGGTTTAAATTGTCTCCAGAGTCTCTTGCTATGCTCCTGTCGTTTTAGCCAAAAGCACGTAGTCAAATTATTGATTTTGCAATTGCTAACTGGTGATGGGAGCAACGCTAGAGTCGGGGGAGTTTCTGCACTGGGGAAGGAAAGACTAAAACATGCTGTGGAGTTATCAAGAAAAATAACTATTAACCCTCCAACCTGGCAGAGCAGTTTGAAAAAGTGTGTTTCACCAGGCTCAGGATCACCCTGCCTTCCCTCGCCTGGGAATAATGAGTGGAGAAACTCAGTTCTCCATACATATACAAAATAATTCATATTCCTGCTCCCAGCAATAACCTGCCCTGTGCTTTGTATCGCTGCTAAAGCACCTAAAGACCAGGCTGGATGGGGCTTGGAGCAACCAGGTCTGCTGGGAGGTGTCTCTCCCCATGGCAGGGGGGGTGGAACTGGATGATCTTTAAGGTCCCTTCCAACTCTAACCATTCTATGATAAAGCAGCATTTGCACTGGAAAAATTCTCCTATTTAATGCCATGACAATGCTCTGCCAAAGAATATAAAGGAAATAGCCCAGCAACCCAAGCAATATTGCATTTACCTCTTCTCCCCACTCATCTCAAGGCATCTCATGAGGGTTATCATGTCCCTCTTACGGAGAGAGAAACTGAGGCAGGGAGGAGATAAAGGACCAACCCGGTGTGAAAAGCTCTTCCACGGCAGCACAGAGGGTAAAGCAGGGCTCTGAACCGGGGGAGCTTCTTATTCCTAAGGATCCACCGTTTAAACCTCCAATTAAAGCACAATGCAAAGGGGGGAAATTCTGCCAGTTCCATAAAACTAGTTAATAAAAACGTCCCAGCCGAGCTCCCCCCCCTCCCACCCCCAGCTCCCCAGGGAAGCCAGACATCTACGGTTTCATTTTGCACCAGTTTTGTGTCTGCTCCGCCGCCCCGAGAAGTCAATAGGAAAATTGGCACGTGTTTTGACGGAAGGTGGAACAGGTCCTCGCCGAAGAGATTGGAGGAGGCAAAATATCTGTGCGTGGGGCGGGGAAGGGAAGGGGAGGCAGCTGCCAAGGGGGTCGGGGGGGTGTAGTACAGGCAGCAGCTGCTGCTGTTGCCTTTCTTGTAGCATCCCACTCCTCCATCCCCCAGGGAGACCTCATCAGCGCAGTGAAAGCATATGTCCATCGCAGACAAGTGCTGCCGACGCCAGCCAGAAACACGCTCTTTGTCTTCTTCCACCCTTTATTTCCACCCCCTCCCCAACCCTTCCCGTCTCCGGACTCCCCGAACCCAATCTCAAGCAGAGAAAAGAATTACAACCCTGGTGCAATCTTTGAGAGAAACCGCAGCCAGCCAAAGGACTCGCAGCTATTCCCATTATAAATAATATCAGCATCCCCGCTGGGCCGGGACAGGGAGGATTGTTCCAAGGGCGTCCTGCCAAGCGGCCAAGGGACTTCTTCAGCAACGGAGAAGCGCCCTGGTGCTACCACTAGAAAACTGTCCCGGCCGAGCGCTCGGAGGAAAAGGCATTCCTCTGATTGCACTGGAAAATTTCTCTTGGCTTGGGGCTGCATTTATGTTGCATGACTATGGGTTTAGTTTTGTTTGGTTTTTTTATTTTTTTGCAAATAACCTAATCAATGAGCTAATGGGCAGAAAGCAGCGGCTTTTAAGGGAATGCACTAATGAGTGAATTCCCCAGTGTTCAGATTCTGGCCATATAAACCCTATTTAGCCTGGACAGTGACCTGGCATCCATACACATTTCATCAGGACACTCGTTTTGAATTGTTTTACAAGAATCTTTCGCAATTAGACCCATAACCCCAGAGTCCTCCTTCTGCTGGAGAGGACGTCCCTGCACCGCCTGGGGCTCGGCTCGCAGCAGCTTGGTCATCACATTGCAAATTCTGGCACAGACCAGGAGGCAAACTACAGCTCGTCCCCAAATGATTTGTACTAAGAGAGAAGAATGCTGATTCTCAGGCAATTTGCAATTGGGAACGGTGACATTATCTCTCAAATATATTCATTACTGCATACCAGTGACCCTGGTGTATTTGAGACTGTTCTGTTCTGGCTGGCCATCCTCTCAACAGCCACGCAAAGGCTGTTTCAAATTTCAAACCAGTTGATAAGAGCCTTTACCTTACTGGTCTGTGAGTAAAGAACTAGTTTTCTAATCCTTTTTTCTATTTTTTTAAATAGTTTTACCATGTATGTGATGGCCCTGGTTTATCAGTGCTGTGCTTCATGCGCTACGACATCCTGGAGTACTTCAGCATCTATGGAACAGCTCTGTCCATCTGGGTGTCCCTGATGGGTAAGCACTGATCCCTCGTGATTCCTACTGGGCACCAACGTTTGCAGGTCGGGCAGGATCTCTCAGCATTGCTGGTGGGACAGTGAGTGGGTACAGACCCCAGAAACGCTGTCACCTTTGGGCTCCCATCTGCAAGACTCCACTCTGAGACTGTCTCTTATGGAAGTCACCCTGTGCTATGGTTTCATCCATTTTTATCTCATCTCATCCATGCCTTGGAAAGCCACTGCACTCAGTGGGGTTCAGACACACATGGAGACTGTCCTGAGTGGTGGCCGGGGAAGTTTTGCTCTTTGGAGACAAACAGAGCTCTGGCACTGGGTGTTTGTGTTAGTTGGGTGTTCCTCTGCCTTCACCAGCTCGTATGTGTGTCCTCAGAACAGCAGAACTATTTCAAACTGGCAAGTAAGACACGCAGCCTCGTGCATTAGTTCCAGGCAGGACAGTACTGTGAGATGACTTAGTTTGAAACCTCCTATTCCTCCTCATTTTGAGGAATAGGAGCCATTCTGAGCCCATCAACTTGTCCTGACCTGGCGTGGGGGCATTAAGAAATGCAGAATCTGCCACTTCCCTTGGTAGCATGCAAATCAGAGTGGTTTAGTCAAAACAAATTTATCTTCCTAGTTTATCAAAAAGCCTAGTCTGGGCTGACAGGAAATATTAGATCTGCTTAGAAAAAGCAGAAATTTCACTTCCTTTTTATTAAAAAATCCTGACCCTTCCCTATTACTCAATTTTTCTTTTCCCACATTCTCTTCACTCATTTTTTTTTCTCAGTTTGTTCCTCATTTGCCACTGAAACAAGGTGTAAAAGAAATGAAAAAAAAAAATATACGACAGAACTAAAGAAGGTGGTGCTGCCCCGGGCACGGGTCTGTCCCTCCTCTGTTCCCTGCCAAGGAGCACAGACAGCAGCATCCCCTCCCAGGGCATGTGATGGGATAAACCTTGCATGCAGGGAAAAAATGAGTGGGGCAAATATTAACCTTAGAAATGGCTCTTTTCCCCCAAAGTGTGAGTCCCAAGGCAGGGTCCTGCACTGCCCATGACACTCCAGTGCTCTCTCTTCTCAGCTAGAAAAGGCCATGAGGCAACTCATCTCCGAAGGGCATTTTCAGTAGACAACAGCAGTGTCAGGGTAGGTCAGAGCTGATCCAGACACTTTGGCTCCTTGCAGCAAAAATTCAACTTGATTGCTTCATTACCGCATTCAAAACCCTTGCAAAAAAAAAATACAAATCCTGGACTACGATGTTTAAAATATTGACCCGCAGGGAAACAACACAGATTAAAATACGGACATTATCCCTTAGCCAAACTCCCTATAAAACCACGATCCAAGGACATGGAAGGTGTGGTGACTGAAGCCCAGGGAAGCCTCTCGCTGTGGCTTGTAAAGCCCAAGCGCACATGTGCGGACGCAGACCCTCGGGCACGCTTCCCGGAATGCAAATCCAGGACAGCCATAACACAGCTGTGTGAGCTGGAAAAGCATGGAGCCCACTGGGATCCATAACTTTTATCAGTTATTACCCCATTCTGTGCTAAACAAAAGCCTCTAATAATTTACTCGCACTGGCGACTTCCAGCTTGCAAACCTCAGGCAGGTGCCGGCACGGCCGGGCAGCACGGTCCCCATCGCACTGGTGAGCATGGTCCTACCAGAGAGGGGTGATGGAGGTGGCATCGGGGTGAGCCAGCTCGTTTGGGAAGGTTGGAGTTATAGGATGAACCCAAGAGGTGATGGTGGGTGCAAGCATCTTTGGAATTGCCTCTGACTTTTGGGTTGAGGCAGGAAAGGGGAATACAGGTGGGACATCTCCTTTAGCTTCCACACACAACACCGAGTGTAAGACCTTTAAAATCAGCTTCTAGACCCACCACTCCGATTCCTCAGGATGCTTTGCCCTTGTGTGCCTCAGTTTCCCCAGCTGTGAGGTGTAAGAAGGGCAAACAGGACCTGGATGCAATGCTGAGGGTCCCCAGGGCCGGTGGGCCAGAGCCCAGAAAGGCTTTAGGGGAGCAAGGGGTTGGGTGAGCTGACGGTCTCTGTGCTCGGTGCCCTGCAGCTCTGGCAGAGTTTGACGAGCCCAAGAGATCGACCTTCATCATGTTCGGCGTCCTCACCATCGCCGTGAGGATCTACCACGACCGCTGGGGCTACGGCGTCTACTCGGGACCCATCGGGACGGCCGTCCTGGTGATAACTGTGAAATGGGTAGGTAGGGAAGGGCATGGTTTGCAGGATGCTCACGGTGGGGAAGGGGCTGAGCCCTGCACGGAGGGGTCCCACCTGCATCAGCAGTTTCCTCCTCAAGGTCCAGCTCTCTCAGCCCAGGCCATCGCTTCTCCTTCAGGCCTAGCAGAAAGCAGGCAGACAGCAAGCAGCCCTTGTGATAAACGCCAGACTCGATCGGTCTGAGCCATCTACCACATCTGTCCCTGCCTTTCTAATCAGGAGGAACGTATTTATGGAGTTTTTACAGCTACTCAGAGGCAGAGGGGTCTGCTAAACTGTCCCGGAGCCGGTGGAAGATGTGGATAAAACACAGTGATAAAGTGGGATGGAATCTGCCTGCAGTCTGCCTGAATCTGGCTTGGCAGCTCCTGGGACAGTCGGACACCATGCAGCAGCATGTGTCCCACACACAGCAGATGCTGTGACCTGGGTGGCAGCACGGGTGGCAGAGCCATTGGCAGGAGGGGGCATGAGGATCTACCACGACCGCTGGGGCTACGGCGTCTACTCGGGACCCATCGGGACGGCCGTCCTGGTGATAACTGTGAAATGGGTAGGTAGGGAAGGGCATGGTTTGCAGGATGCTCACGGTGGGGAAGGGGCTGAGCCCTGCACGGAGGGGTCCCACCTGCATCAGCAGTTTCCTCCTCAAGGTCCAGCTCTCTCAGCCCAGGCCATCGCTTCTCCTTCAGGCCGAGCAGAAAGCAGGCAGACAGCAAGCAGCCCTTGTGATAAACGCCAGACTCGATCGGTCTGAGCCATCTACCACATCTGTCCCTGCCTTTCTAATCAGGAGGAACGTATTTATGGAGTTTTTACAGCTACTCAGAGGCAGAGAGGGTCTGCTAAACTGTCCCGGAGCTGGTGGAAGATGTGGATAAAACATTGTGATAAAGCGGGATGGAATCTGCCTGCAGTCTGCCTGAATCTGGCTGGCAGCTCCTGGGACAGTCAGACACCATGCCACAGCATGTGTCCCACACACAGCAGATGCTGTGACCTGGGTGGCAGCACGGGTGGCAGAGCTATTGGCAGGAGGGGGCATGGCCATGAAAGGGAAAAGAGAAGGACTCAATAATGGGATAAAAACTGCCGGAAGACGCTTCTGAGCATCATGGAAATATAGTGGTACAAGTCCCAGCTACAGACTGTCACTAACCCCCGTCTCCAGTCTGGCTGGTAGCTAAAAGCAAGTGGCCACCATGGGGAGGAGATGGGCAAGGAGGGGACCAAGGCAGGGGACCACCCTGCATCCCCCAGCTCGGGGATGCTGTGCTGGGATCTGCTCTCCCAGAGACTGGGATAATAAGGGTACACGCTCCCTGAGCTGGGTTTGGGGCTGAATATTAAGAAAAACAGCATTATGGTGAGGAATGAAGCAGCAACAGGCAGAAGCGCCTCCCACACGTGGACAGACCCCACAGCCTGAGGGAACGGGCCTGTGGGCTTCGCGAGGATTTATTTCAGCATTTATGGGGTCTTTCGGATGCGGAGCAGCCAGCTAAATCCAGGTGGACACACTTGGTGTGCTCTCTCTCTTTCCTCCCAGCTACAAAAGATGAAAGAGAAGAAAGGGCTCTATCCAGACAAGAGTGTCTACACCCAGCAGATCGGTCCTGGCTTCTGTTTCGGGGCATTAGCGCTGATGCTGAGGTTCTTCTTTGAGGTACCCGCTTGCGCACGCGATTCCCCTGACTTTACAAGGTGTAAAGGACGTTACCAAGGTATGAGACCTCCCCCTTCGCACCCCTGGGCTGCATCCAGCCTTGGGGAAAATCCAGCTCAGGTGGAGGTCTCCAGGCTCGGCGTGCTGGGGTCTGGTGGCAAGGACAAGGGCTTGTCCCCATCCCAGCCCCTGGCCCATGAACCGCGGTGTGGGCAGGGACAGACGTGACAGCGAGTGACACAGGGTGATGCTTGCTCTCTTTTGCCCCCTCTTAAATGAGTCACAAGGAGAGAGGCCACACTTTCCTCAGCCATACGTGGTCCTCAAAATGCCTTTGTCAAATGGGAGCAGGGTTTTTTGGGAACAGGGCACAGGTGACTTAAGGACACCTTGCAGAGTCGTGGCAGCGACTGGATGTGACCCAGGCATGGCCGGATTCAAAACTGGCTCACGCCAAGGAAATGACTCTCCGTTGACTCCCAGGAGCACTTGACTCCGTGTTTATAACCTTTTGCTCCTGCCGCTGGCCAGTCTGTCCGTCCTGCACGGAACTGTCTGTCTGTCCTGCGCGGGGAAGGCGATAACCCCCGGCCGCGCTGCCGGTCGCGCCTGCGCTCAGCCCCACCGTTACGGCTGCTCTGTGCATTGGGAGCTGCTAGATACAACCTCACAGTCATCCCCAAGGATTATTTTTCAAAGCATTTAGTAATTGCGAATTCTAGCAGAACATAAAAATGTCACTTAGCAGAAACCGCCTCCCCCCGCGCCCCGGCCCCGCCGCCGCGTCCTTTGCGGGGTAATGAAACACTTCATTCAAGAATTGGGAAATGTGCAAATTGGAATGTGTTAAATCCACTTTGCCTTTTTTTTTTTTTTTTTTTAAGGCTGGAAATCCTTTTCTTCTTTGACAGCAAAATGAGGCAGAAGCCTCAGGAATTACTATTTTAATTTTTTTTATTCCTTCCCGTTCGGCTACTTGCAGGAATCTAATGTTTTGTACCTAACTCAGACTTCCCCCCCCCCTCCCCAGGCACCGCTGCTCCCCCGGCCCCAGCAGGTCTCTCTAACTCTCTCCCCACTTGCAGGAGTGGGATTACACCTACGTGCACAGCTTCTACCACTGCGCCTTGGCCATGGCCTTCGTGCTGCTGCTGCCCAAGGAGAACAAGAAGGCCGGGAGCGCCGGGACCCCCGCCAGGCTGGACTGCTCCACGCTCTGCTGCTGTGTCTGAGCCACCCCAGGAGAGAGGGGCATTTGCTTTTCCGCTCCCAAATCCATGGAGGGATCCGCTGCTCCCCCGGCCCCGGCAGGTCTCTCTAACTCTCTCCCCACTTGCAGGAGTGGGATTACACCTACGTGCACAGCTTCTACCACTGCGCCTTGGCCATGGCCTTCGTGCTGCTGCTGCCCAAGGAGAACAAGAAGGCCGGGAGCGCCGGGACCCCCGCCAGGCTGGACTGCTCCACGCTCTGCTGCTGTGTCTGAGCCACCCCAGGAGAGAGGGGCATTTGCTTTTCCGCTCCCAAATCCATGGAGGGATGCAACAAAAATCAAAATGCTTGCCCACTGCATTTTGCCCTGGGCCTCTGGGTGTCTTTTTCCACCAGCTCTGTGCACGCCCTGGGCTTTTCTTCCCTTTCCAGCCCTAGCAGAGGTTGTGCTTGCAGTGTGCTACATGCACATCCTCCTTCCTGGAGGACCACTTCTCGGGGCTGCAACCCCCAGGAAACCCTTGGGCCATGTCACCTCCTGGGCTGTCCACTGCGCTGGCCGTGGAGGACACGAGTTGTCCCCTCCATGCAAGTTTGCCCAGCCTGAGCACAGGGGGCTTCGTTTGTCATGCCCGATTAACAGAACCTGTATTTTTGGTGAGATATTCACTATTTTATTTATGCGTTCTCTTGATGTAAATAATATTTACTAACAAAGACTTCACAAGTGTGCGATGCCAGTGTTTCTTTCGCAGTACAAGAAGCTTTCCAGCTCCAGTTCTGCTCAGTCGAGGGCAGATGCCAGCCCCAAAGCAGAGCTCTGGGCACAGCCATCCCTTTTCCCTGCCCACAGCCATCCCCAGCTTGGAGGGACCTTCAACACTGGGCACTTTGTCCATGCAGACCTGCCCAGGCAGTGCAGGCAGCAGGTGCGCTTACGGAGAGCCTCATTAGTATGGAAAGGACATGGAAAATTAAAGGCAGAGAAAAGAAGCTCCTGGAGGGAGGGGGGAGGGCTGTAAGCCTATAACATCTCCTCTAACAGACTATTTACTATAGCAGAAGTGTATGATTTATTTAGACTGTCTGGGAAAAAAGCCAAGACTATATGTCATGGACAATTAGAGCAGTATTGATATACAGTGATGTCCACAGAAAGCCCACATTAAGCCTGGGTTCCTCTGGAAGAGAAATCCACCCTGGTCATTCATCAGAGCAACTTCCTGCGACGGGGCAACAACAAAAACTGAATGAGCTTCCAACAAAAATATAAATGAATTATGAACCCCCGAGCATCCAAGAGTCACTGGCAAGCGGTGGCACAGCCGCCGCAGCTGCACGCAGAGGCAGTGCTAGCAAAGAGTTTTCAAAGGGTTCCCCAGCACCTAAACCAACACAGCACACGGGGCCTTTTACAGCATCCAGCCCCCGGGACGTTCTGCAAGATGCTCTGAGGGTCTGCGTGCAACACCTTCCCCATTGTTTGCACGCTACCAGGGTACTTTGCCACATGAGGATTGCCCAGGGCACCCCCAAAAAGTGGTCTCAAGTGCTTCAAATCCTAATTCAGAGCAGAATGCATGGCACTATATGGAAGAACCAGCTCCGAGGATACGCAGATGTTGCCCAAGGGTGTCCCATGGCCAAGATCACGCTGGTTCTTGCTGAGCCCCCCCGAGCACATCTCTTGTTGTGTATTACCCCCACAGTTTGCATTACTCCATGTGCAAATACTCAACTGACTCAAAACTCAATTGAGTATTGCAAATACTCAATTGCTCCCCACCAGCAGCCTGACCAGCACTGCCAGCAGCCTCCATCCCTCCACATACCCTTTGGCACTTGCTGCAGCTGCTGATCAGGGGCACCCTGACCCCCACCGACTCATTTTGTGACTGTTCAGCCCCTCCAGCATCCCTACAGCAAGCCCTGGCAGCTGGTGGGCAGCATGGGAATAGGGAGAGACTTGTGCTGGGAGGAGAGGCACTGGGTAACTGGGAACCCTTCCTGGGGCTGAGCAGGGGGGAAAACAGGTTGGCAAACCCCATGCAAAAAAGGGGGGCACATTAGCTAAAGCCCAGCTGAGTAAATGAAAGCTTCTGCTCCCACCTGCCATGCATTCAGGTGTTACACCAAAAAAAAAATAATACCAAAAATAGTGTATTGTATACAATAAAGTCCCAGGCAAGGTTTCCTTTCCCCCTTCTCCCTACTGATGCCCCAGGACACTGCTCCATGCAAACCATCCATCCCTTTGCACCCAGTGTGGGACCAGCACCCTTCCTCAGGGCCAAATCACAGCTGGGCACATCTGTGGGGTCCCTGCCCTGCATCAGCCCTGTGCTGGCAGCAACACCCACCGCGGCAGCACCGGGCACCCCGGCACCCGGGAGGAAGGTGCAGGGGGCTGAATTCCCTATCGCTGGGGCAGGATATCCCCTGCAATACAAATGCAGGGAAATATTATAAACATTTACAGCAACGTAGACAAAACAGTCTCTTGTAACCTTTTAGCGCTGCCGAGAGCTCTGCCTGTAAGAGCTCTTGAGCCCCTGCCAAAAATTCTTGCTGTTTTCATAAGAGTAGGTGTTTTCGTCTAAGGTGCAGTCTGAGTGCTGTGACCTTTGTCATGTCTGCTACTGAAATTTCCTGCTTCTCTGTTATTCTCTTCTTTGGTAAGACGATATGAAACCCAAAACTTTTATTGCCCCTTTTAAAGCGTCTTTATAGCTCCCCGTCTACTTCATATACTGTCTTATTCTCGAACGCTGGGATATTACTTATGGGATCCGGGCTTGATGCTGCAAAAGGCATTTGGGTTTCATGAAGCCCAAACCGCCCGGGCTTTTTTTAAGATCAACCCGGGGGGAGGAAGAAAAAAAAAAAAAAGAAAGAAAAAAGGAAAAAAAGGAATGAGAGGGGAGGGACCGGGCTTTCTGCTCCGGAGGCATCGGCATCTGCAACCAGCGCAGCAGCAGAAAGCGGCACCGAGGGCGGGCAGGAGCTTGCCAGCTTCCCCCCTGCTCCACCATCCCTCCCCAGGCACAAAATCCCATTTGCTTTGTGTCTGGGCCGCAGTGACACCGTGGGGTGACCGCCGGCCCCGGGGGGAGAGCATGGCACAGCCTCTCTTCCCGTGCCTCCATCCTCTGCCTGCTCTGCCCCGGAGCCAGTGGCTCAGATGTGGTCGGACCCCGCAGCTGGTGCTGGACCCGGTGCTGGCACTCGGGGACGCCAGCCCTGCTTGGGGGGACCCCACGCACCCCATTTCTCTGCTGGGTTTCGGCGTTGGGACAGACCACATGAAGGACGTGTATCCCCAGGCCAGGGCTGATGCAAAGTCACAAGAGCCTGGTGCCAAGTGCTCCCATCCCACCCCTGGGGCTGCGGGGCATCGCCTCGCTGCGTGCAGGGACCGTGGTGGCAGGGGGTCCCCCAGGACCTGGCTCCCCTCTACGTGCTCCACAGCATCCCCACGGCAGGAGGTTCATGCCGGGTGGGAGAGGGTTGGCCCCATCAGGGATCTCACAGCAGGCACAGGGGCCAGCGGGCAACGACGGGATGGAACCGTCCCCTCCAGGGGACACAGATTCCCCCACGCTCGCCTTTGGCAAGGCCAGGATAAGAGGGGAATTAGGACCTACTCCTGCTGGAGGGGAGGCTTCCAGAGATGTCTAGTCGGGCTCGGTGCCAGCTAATCTTCCAGGCAAACTTTATCCAGATCCCTTTGGCTGCAGAAAGGGAGAAACTAGCCAGACTAAAACATAAAAGCCTGGTTTCTGCTGCCAGCTGTGTGGGGCACTCCAGAAAATGCCTTATCACCATGTGATTTTGAAAGACCGCTTGGGGTTTTTTTCCACACGCTGCTCTTGCCTCCTCACCCTCGTGCCGCCGTTCCTCTGTGCACGTTCAAGTTGTGAACCAGCCCCGCCAGGTTAATGCACAGACCCTGGGGGCAAGGTTTTTCTTCTAACCATTTTTATGCCCTTCAGGCCATGGAGATGCTACCCTGCTTCAGAAAGTGCCGTTGCTTCGGCCTAAGGCACATGTAACTCATCAGAAGTAGAGATGGACAACGCAACAAGATGCATCCACCAGGACTAACAGAGAGGTCCTGCCTCCTCCCAGGGAGCACCAAAGAAACCTGATTTCCCTGCAAATTCAAAAGTGGTGATTTTTTTTGTGCAAGTAGAAGCAGGAGCTCTGTGGGGAGCCCCAGGGAGAAGCCTTGCCCTGGACTCCTCCATCATCCTCTTTTTCTGTTGTGCAGGAGATGTCTGTGTCCTGTAACGGGGACGCACCGGGGCTGCAGGGGCGAAGGGGGAGTCACCACCAATGTCCTACAGAGACCCAGGGCTCCACAGCCCTGGGACATGGTACAGATGCACTATGAGAAACCAACTCCACCCATCAGCCTGGAAAAAAGTAGAGATGGAGCAACCAAAGACCCTATCTGGGACCACTTGGTACCTCTCAGCTTCGCTCCAGCTATCCCAGCCCCAACGCACAGCTTTTTTAGAGTGCACAGAGAAGATCTCCTGCACTTCAGAGGAGTCGGGGGGTACCCAGGAAGAGCAGGGAGTGCTTTGCCATCTGCTCTGCAGGAACACCATCTTTCTGCAGTGGCACGGGATGGAGTTAGAGCAGATGCAACCGTGGGGGTCAGTACAACGGCACCTCCTGTGTGGGTGCAAAGCTGCCTCACCCAGCACCACCGAGAGGAAAAAAAGCATCGATATATCAGGATTTTACTTAAAACACCCCCGTGCAACATCCCGGCAGGTTTCTCCTCTCCTCTTTTTTTCCTCACAGCCTTTTGGCAAGATTTCCAACCCAACTTTCCAGCCCCGGTTGGTGTGGGCAGGACAGCCCCATCCCAATACCGGGGGTATTTTTGGGGTGTTGGAGGGGGGGGAGCTCAGCTGCAGCACTGCAGACGGGCTGAGACACTCAGCTCCCAAGGGGGTGGCCAGGGAGCCCCTCACACACTCGCAGGTGTCTGTTCCCCCCCCCGGCAGCACCGGAGACGGACGCGGATGGTGGACTCGACCCAGGAGACCAAACCCGAGCGCCGAGTCTCCAGCCCAGGGAAGGGGAGATGGGAAGCAGCCGGGCTCGCTCGGCTCTTGCTGGGATGGTTTTGCAGCTGCAAAAACTCGCTGCTGGTCCAGGTTCGGTGTCTCCAGCCTCCCCTCTCCTCCGGCGGAGCGGTCCCAGGGAGCGGCGGTCCAAGGTTTTCGGTTTAGGCCAATCTCCCAGAAATTCTGTCATCATGCAGTGCAT